ATTCCATCAGGTAGGAGCCACCACCAAAAAAGCTCGGGCCCTGGTAGCAGCCAGCCTGGCCTTTTTGGGTGGAACAGCTGTGCCAGAGCTTGTAACTGACCCAAGGTCACATCAGCAGGTGCCAGTGGAGGAGTGGGGAATCAAACCCAGTTCTCCCCGATTAGAGTCTGCACATTTAACCACTACACCAAAGCTTGGGTTTGTTCGGAGTTTGCAGGGTGTAACCCTGGCTGTCGGTTTAGATGTATGAGCAGAGTGGAAGGAGGGATCACTCACATAGTAGAAAGCCATGGGCTGGTTGGATCTCTTGCTACGTCAAGGGAACAGTGTTTTATTCTGGGTATAAAGCATTCATGTGCATAAAACTGTTGGTCTTAAAGGTGCCACCCTCAAAAAAGTAACCCACAAAGCCCTGCCTATCTTTCCAACTCCCCTTTCAGGCACACAGTAAAAGACAGTAACTCGGAAAGTGAACAAGGGATGGAGTCTGTGTGTGAAGACACCTATTCCTTAAAAACTTGCACAAGGTTCCCTCTAAGCTGCGGAGACCTGTGAGCAAAAATCCTACTTTGACTATCTTTCCAACTCCCCTTTCAGGCACACAGTAAAAGACAGTAACTCAGAAAGTGTACAAAGGATGGAATCTGTGTGTGAAGACACCTATTCCTTAAAAACTTGCACAAGGTTCCCTCTAAGCTGCGGAGACCTGTGAGCAAAAATCCTACTTTGTGAGCGACCAGCATTAAAGTGGTGAGCCGGCAATTTGGCTGCTGCAGAAATTAGTTTGCTCTGGAGCCATCCTTCCTGAGCTAAGGTAAAAAGGTGTGAGCCGGAAGCTGAAAAATTGTGAGCCAGCTCACCCTAGCTCAATTTAGAGGGAACACTGCCCATGACATAATAAAAAACACTTTGAGCAAAATTAATAGCTATGAGTAGGGACACACCTTTCCATGCTCTCCCATATGTATATTGGTGATAACCCTTTGGGGTAGCCTATAATTTGGGGAGAGGGGAGACATTATGCTTGTTACAATCAACCTCTCCCTTCTTCAAAGTAAGAATATGGAAGTGTGCAAAAGCCTCAGTTCAGAGCAGCTGTAGAATACATGGTTAGCTGTTGTGAGGTGATTTTAGTTCAGTTATAGGACACCAAGGCCTCTGAGGCAAAAGAGGGAAAAAAATAATTTAACTTCCATCAAATTCAGCAGGCATAGGCTTCCAGACAAAGAAATAGCATTTACTTGCATTCTAATTAGAGCTTCAGCAACATTTGAAGTACACATTTTAAGTCGTTAGAATCAGAGACCTCTGAATAACATTTAGCTTGTTATCACCTAAGGCCTTTCCTTGAAAATAGAGAGTCCAGCTTCCTCATTCTAACTATCAGACCGGACCTTCACACATGCTCTCTCCCCAAGAGACAGACTTCAACTTTCACAAAAGGCCTAACTTTTCTCCCTCCTTCCTCAAGGCACAGTTGGAATGTCAGCTACTAGACAACCTGGCGGTCACAGGATGACTTGATTTTGAAACTCCTTCAGATTTTAAATTTGGACATTATTACACTATACAAATAAGAGCGAAGAAATGGCACAACAAGATTTCGAAGAATAATTTTTAATACCCAAATGTCATAGCATTAGATTTTAGCTTCTCAAGTGTTTGGTTACACACATCCCCTTCCGGATAGGCCTGTAGCTCCAAGCCTATGGAATAAAAAAGAAGCAAGGTTAACCTACGTGTTGCAGACTAAAGCAGAGTATATCTTGGAAAAGAAAGAGATCAGACCCTAGATTCTCCATCACATATCAGAGAGAGAGTTCAAGGTGAAGTTATCATCATTTATCCACTCCCATAATAGATGTCAAGTTTTGTGTTTTACATACAGGATTGATACCCACCTTCTAAAGTTGTCAGTTTTCAAGTTCTCCTAGGAGAAAGAAACATTAGTATAGATGAGAGGAGGGAATAAAATGCACAATCACAGAATGTATTAAACCACTGTACTTCATAGAGAAGATTCTACAGTAGCCAGTGCAGCATGTTTCTAAATCTGCATCTTTTTTTCCTCTGGTTCAATGTTTTGCATAAAAGTGTCCCTCAGACCAAACAAGTCACTGCCGGAGCTCAGGCCATCAACATAACTGGGATGGTTTGGAGTTTCATTTGGAATTAAATTTATTGCTGAATTTGTCTAACTCAGTTTCCCTTGCTGTACTTCATAAATTACAGCTAGTTTGCTAAATATGACTGGTACCACGTCAAGATCTTTTCTCAACATTTTATTGCCACAACAAACCCAAAGGGCAGTCTTACAGAAGCAAATATACACAGATATTTTAAAAAGCATTTATTTTATCACCAACAAGACTAGACACTAAGGATTAATTCCAGGAGTCCCACAGAGCTTAGCCAGGAGAGGACATGCAAATACAACCCCATTGTGTGTTGTCTAAAGAGCTTGTAGCCAGATACGTCAGATAGGAGCGAAAGACAGATCATCACTGTTCATCTGCTGAACTATGTTCTCATCATTGTATCTGTGCCGATTCTTGCTTTGATCTTCAAGCTCTTTAATTACTATGAGGGAAGGGAGATCTTGAAATGAACTCAGCTGCAAAGATAATCAGGTGTTGACTTTGAAGACAGCTAACTTGTTGACAGTATTCTGTGACATGAGCACAATAAAATACTAGTGATCTGGCATCAAAACATTGAATGGCATACACAGTGACTTTTTCAAGTCAGGTTTCAACCCACAGCATGTAACACCTACCTTAGGCAGTAGAAGACTTCTTCCAGAACACTAGCCAGTTTAATCTGTAATAAAATAGCCTTATCTTAGAAACAGAAGAAAAGTTGGTTTTTATACCCTACTTTTCTCTACCCTAAGAAGTCTCAAAGCAGTTTGCAATTGCCTTCCCTTCCTCTTCCCCAACAGGCACCTTGTGAGGTAGGTGGGGCTGAGAGAGCTCTGAGAGAACAATGACTGGCCCAAGGTCACCCAGCAGGCTTCGTGTGGAGGAGTGGGGAATCAAACCCGGTTCTCCAGATTAGAGTCCACTGCTCTTAACCACTACTACACCACGCTGGCGCTCTAGAAATACTTTCCAACCCAGCAGCAGAGGTATGAGGCTGCAGCATTGGTTCTGTACTGTTTCAGTATAGAGTTATCATCACTCCCTTTCAGAGAGATTCCCATTGTTCTGTACAATTTCATCATTAACAGTACACAACATACACACACACACCCATGGGGAAAGTCTCCATGTTCCAATTCTGTTTGGAATTCAACAACTCAGCATGGAAAAGACAGGCAGATTTGGAGGGGGGGGAGAGAAATGCATGAGAAGTCATTTCTTACTTGCATCCTCTTAACAGACTGGGTAAAGCAGCACATGCCCATTAATTGGGGAGGGACCAATTTACCCTTCGTCCTGTTTCCAAAGGTCCCATCCCACAGGAACAGAATTTCAGGGAGTGTTTTAGGGTGCAGTGGGAAGAGGAAGACAAGACAGAACTGTCCTACTAATGGACATCCCTGCAATCAGGAGTAGTTGTCTTTGATCCAGTCCATTATATTAACACTAGAGAACCTGGAGAATAATTAAACTGGCATATTCAAGGGGGCAAATTTTGCCTTTGGACTTCCAGCCAATAACAGATTTAAAATCTCTTATTTTTAAAGGATAAATGTTGACATGCATCCTTCTCAGGATTCAGGTGGGCATTCTACAAAAATGCAGGTAGGGCATGCACTTTATAGCCGCGACCACAGGATAAGGCCTCAAAGACACAGGAGCCCCCGACAGCAGCACCCACCAGCCCAATCTCACTTTGCAGACCCACTCACTGCCTAACAACCTCTTCAAGTGTTATTGCTGGAACTTACCCAATATGCTGCAAAGCAGATCACTCCTCTGTCCATTGAACACCCTGCTACAGAGAGGTTGCATAGGTTAAGCACGGTCCCCCCTATATTAGTACTTTTAAAGCCCTAATACTTTACTTCATTTCAACACATTACAAGCTTCTGAGTGTACATTTGTCTTGAGGCCCAGTTAGCCCTGTTCATTTGCATGCCACTAGAAGCTGACTGCATCCAATGCCGATCTGTACAACTACAAGACTGTTCCAGTGACATTTCACTGTCCAGCTACATACACCACTTCTTTCCAGAAAGCCTCAGTGTGTTGTTTTCAGAAAACGGTTCTGTCCACTACTCTAAGTCATCATTGGCTTTTCTTGTTCCCACAGCATAGCTTTTCTTTTCAGTGGTGTATGGCATTTTGGGAAGGAACGTGCAAATATACAAGCACCTATGGGGGTGGGAACGTGCCAGCTTTTTCACTCCCACCCAGTTCTTACCACACAGCCCCCATCGCACATGGGTTTTAACTGTGCAGCTCCCAAGATGCCCAGCGTAGCCATCTTGGGTGGTCAAAGTGGATCCATGCCTCCCTTTTCCTCATGAAGAAAACTTTTTGGATCCAATTCTATACCGAGTCCTCCTCTCTCCACACCGCCTTCTTCCAATTATCAGCAATTCTACAGTCTTTTCCCAGCCCCACTGACCAAGGTTAACTGCAAGTGCTGGGGAATGAACCTGGGACCTTCTACATGACGAACTCTTACCCCTAACTAAGCTGTAGCCTTGCGCCGCCTGCAACAGAGCCCCTCTTTCTAGAAACACACCCAACTAAGCTTACAAAGTCAGATATTAAACACCCATTTCTAAACAGCAAGACATCAGCTAGAAACTTACCAATCTGTCTCTTGACAGGAAGACTACTGAGAGAATCCTCTTCTAGTTGTACTTTAAAAAAAACACACAAAAAAAGAATTACACCATCAGTTCCACACAATAAACAGCCCCAAGCAAGGCTTCTTTGTATAGCTTGCTTTCGAAGTTTTATCTTTATTCTGAGATTAGGCAGCAAATTTCACCTAGGAGCTACCCAGAGTGGAAAAACATCTCGGCCAGAACTGAACATTGGTACAGACAGCCGATAACACACATACCCCGATTACTACTAACCCTATGAAAGTGCCTGAGCTCTTGTAAAATTTGAAAAAATAATTTTAAAAAGTGCCTGAGCTTTAGCGAACATTAAAAATTGTAACCTCAGTAAGTGGAACGGTATAGGGTTAATATCACAGGCTCTCATCTGGCAGAATCTAGTTTCATCACTGGTTACAAGTGTATTCCAAACAGCCTCTTATGGGACGAATACAAAAAAATGTGCTCTTACCTCAGATTTGGAACTCCATACTCAGAACCTAATTAAGAAACAAAGCATTAGTTTGCCATTTACAATGCTAGGCAACGGATTAAGTCAGTGCTTGAATAAAGGACCACAGCAGTTACAGGGTTTTTCAGCAAGATTAGTCCACATACTGATTTCGGATCAGACATTTAATCATCATCATTTTGAACCCTGCCGACAGAATTCCAAGAGAGACCCCAACAAGAAGAAGCGTGTTCCCCAGAATGATTCCAGACTGCATCCTAGTACTTCTAAGGCCAAGTATGATGCAAGAGGTGCCTAGAAGGAACACAGCTGCAAGCGTATCGAAGATTTGACCAAAGGCATGCTAGCAGGTAACCTCAGGTGCAGTGACTTATATCAACCCTATGCCATGCTGAATGAGCACAAGCATGAAATTTTTGCCCTTACAAGCCTTTTAGGATGCTAACCAAGACCATGGGGCACTCCAGTGGACTGTTTAGCAAAATGACCATTTTGTTGTCGAAGGCTTTCACGGCCAGAGTTCATTAGTTGCTGTAGATTTTCCAGGATGTG